GCATTTCAGTTTTACCCCTACTCCGCGGCGGGCAGTAATGCGACATGCGAAAAAATATAAGGCGATGTAATAAAATTATCACTTTAAAAACTTACCAAATAGCGACGGTCATGGTGTTCTGCTGGGATCTTCTGAGACAACACTGATCGCTGCAAACCGACCCCTCGACGGATCCAATACTACCCCTCGGTGGTGGCGTGGCACAAACCCGTCTACCGCCCGAATGGCCCACGTATTCGACACTGGGACTCGTGCACATCCCATGCCTGCACTGACCTCTGACCGTCCTCAGCGTTGGCGACACGTAACCCGTACAAGTCACATCTTTCTTTTCGACACGACCGGCAGCAGGCATCAAATGGAAACTCGGACAAGACAGTTCCTTCGCGCCGACAAAACACTGAATCACCTTCTCTTGCTGCTGTTGCTGCGAACCGCGGATATTTTGGCACTGAACTAATTCCGACGTGACCAATTCTTTTTGTTGCATAACGTCTTTGCCCCCCTGACTAGTCACGGAACTACTACTACTGGAGCATGGGCTCGACTTGCAATACTGATAGCACTCGGGATACTGACAACACTTGCTCCTCAAGGGATTAGTCACGTACCGGATCCTTTGGTAATTGTTTTGTTGATAAAACGGCATCCTGTACTGTGGAAACCGCAAGTCTCTACGCATATAGGGGTCGTTACTACTTATGGTACCGTATTTCGGATATCTTTCGTACTGACAGTAAGGCTCCTGCTGTTGCTGGGGTGTGTATCGTTCTACCGGTACGTGGGGGTTCGTGGAAGTTATGACGACGCGTTCGCTGTTACCGTTCGCGCCACCATAATGCAAATGGTACCCTGTTGCCATCTGATTCCTGTTATGGGAATAATTCGTATATAACTCGTTGGAATAGGTCAAGTATCGATCACGTATCTTGTCGTATTTTTGCGGCGAATACACTTCGGTTGGAGAGGGCGAGAGTGGTGGCGGTGGAATGAACCTCTCCGGCGGCGGGACTGTATTAGTAGGCGAAGGGAAAGTGTTGGAAGCGTAACAGTCGGGGCTAGGGGTGGTGATAGGCGATAACGGTGGCGGTGGAATGAACCTACTGTTTGCAGGAGCTGGTGATGGAGGTGTCATATAGGGGGCGCTAGAAAATGAAATGCGCTCAGGCCTGTTCGGTTTCTCTTCGTCAGTAGCAAAACGTTCCGGACAAGGAATAGCAGGAAAGCGTTCGTCGAAATACTTTTCTTGGTCGAATCGGCAACTATCGACATCGATTTGCTGTTTCCTATCAGCCGATCGTGACCTTTCTCTCCTTCTTTGTAAATCCGTCGCGGTAGCGACACAAAACTGTTCCTTATCATTATTGTTCTTTCGGAATCTTTCGACTGGCGTGTGTCTGCCAGGAGTACCGGCAGTACTTCGTCGACTGATTGAATTGTACATGTCTGTCGTCGCCTGATACTTGTCCATAACAGGAGTACGCCTCTCTGAACTGCTACTGCATCTCTCCTTTTCCCCTCCATTCGACGACTGACGGTACCTTGCGTCCGTAGGGGTGTTTGCCCTCGAATACATGGCATCGATCGCGTTATGACTGTGATATCGATCCAGACAAATGACATTCTTAACCGGAGAATACCTTTCCGAATATTTCTGTGGTTGATACCGATCGGACACGAACAGTACCTGATGCTGATCGGCGTGACAATGAGACGACACATTCGGCACAAGTCTATCCGAAGACATCGCGTTCCCGAGCGGGTACCTTTCGGATACACCCTGATACCTTTCGCCCGAAGGTAAACGATCGGAATGACTACGTTCGGAACCGAACCGATGATCTCCAACGATGTTATTGTACCGTTCCCCGGTTTTAAAGTCTTTCTCGCCGGACGGGGGCGGAGATTGCACTGACGACGCCGATGACGTAGCCGTCGGCGCCTGCAACGCCTGCAGGCTATCTTGTTGAACACGATCGGCGACAGAATGATCCTGATAACGATCTGTAACAGGAGCAACAATCGGAGGAACGGATACATTTTGGATAATATTATGTCTTCGGCCATAGTCTTCGTCCGCAGGCATTCTGGTGGCCCCAGGCCCGATGTCAAGACATCTGAAAAGATCAGGGAACCTATTCATTGTCAACTTACTGGTGACAAAAATACATGAGAAAATCTACACCCGTGAATTGCAAGTTACCTTGTTCCAAGTGTAGTCGAGTAGAGTGAACTCGTAACTTTACTTTGTAAGCTACATAACATACATTCCAACTATTTTCTCTGCTTATTGAATTAGAGAAACCCTCTTTAAAATCAAATATTATTTAGATCAAAAAGTAT